TGTCGAAATAGTTTTGTGCGAGGACCATCGAATTCTAATGGCCTTTCGCCCATGCAAGCAGTGGCTGGTTCATTTATTGGTTTTGCATGTGATGCAAATAAAGCTGCGTTAGATGAATCAGCAACTGGTCGAAATGGTTTATTTACATCTCATCTTCTTCAACATATTGATCAACCGAATTTAACTATTGATGAAATAATGATTGATGTTTGTGATGGTGTAATGAAAGAAGCAAACAATGATCAATGTCCATTTCGAGTATCTTCGCTTCGACGAAAAGTTTATTTAAATCAACAATTTACAGCTGGTAAGTCTAAAATAATTCTGAATCACGATAAATATGAAGAATGCAGGATGTCGGAAAGTCATTTAGTAAAAGGTTCTTAGTACAGCTTTACTGCTCTATTAGTCTTTATCAGATTTTTTAAAAGTAAATGATAGGTGAATACACCAAATTTTTTTCTTTACGAACAAACGTCAAAACTATTGTTGAAACGTATCACCTCTCACTAAAATACAAAAAGTTAACTTTTTACTATAGTGTCTAAAAGCCATTGACTAAAAAGAAAATTATATATAACAAAGAGGTTGTGAAACAACAACATAGTACTGAAGGGATCTCTGTATTTTCCTTTGGTTGCTCAAAGCAGAAAACTATATCACACTTATTCTCGCGTGTGTGAATAAAGCAAGGAGAAAACAGCTGATTATTGATTAGGATTCATTAGGAGTGATTAGGGAGATGAATAGCTGTCCTTCTGATCATTTTCCTAGTCATCCATAATCAAGGGTGTGGGTGGGTGTGGGTGTGGGTGTGGGTGTGGGTGTTATTTCTGCTGTACCTATCCACACCTACACCCAACAAATTCTCTCTTTATATCTTTATCGGAAAAATTTTAAATCATAAAATTGAATTTTCATTTGTTCTATTTTAAGATATTTCAAAAACTTAAACAATAGCTCTCATAATCTGAATAGTTATTTTTATTTATTTATATTTTCAAAACAAAAATATTATATTAATATTGTTTAGTATTTTAAAATATTTTTATATAAATTAAATTAAAGTAAATTCATTGTATTTTCTTTTCATTAAGATTCTTACCAACCAAAGCATTCTACAATCGGTACACCTACTATATCAACGAATCCAATAACAACAAATCAAATATCAACTCAATCTCATATAAAACTACGTATGTTTCATGAAATAAAAATTATTTTTATTATTTTTAGAATTGAGATAGAACTTCTTCATAAATTAGTTTTATTAATTTAGTAACAATGTAAAATTATTTTTCAAATAATATTCTTCTTTAGATAAGAAAAAACAATTTCTCTTGAAACAATATTCATAAAATTATTCATAATTTACTTCTTTTCTAATTTTATCTCACTTAATATAATATTGAAAAGAGAGCTCATCCATCGTTCTCCAATTATTTTTTCAAATGAGATATTGAGAATATTATTAAATAAATGCTTAAAATAAAAGATCTTGTGAAAAGTAAGAAAGTTTTTCATTTAAAATGTTTTTTATTAATTAATTGATATGAGTTAGAACAAAAATCAACATCGAAAGTTTTATTTTTTCATTAAAATCAATCTTTTTCACAAATGAAAAGAAATATTTATAGAATTTTTAATCAAATTAATCCTTTGAATAGTTTTTGAAAAAAGAAATTATGATTAGAGTAAGAATTGAATATAATTATTGAAAATTAAAATCAATTAGATTGATTTTGTTTTTTATCATAAAAATATTTTCGTAATATTCTAATTAATTGATTAATTATTTAAAAAACAATCTCTTTCACAAATAATATACTTATTTTATCCATAGAATCTATTCGAAATACTTATCTATACTATAAATATTTATTTCTTGTAAAACTAAATGAAAATTTCAAATCATTTTCTTAATTATTTATCCCGTATTTTAATATTTTTTCTTTTATTTAATCAGAAACTATTTATTTTTACTTTGTGTTTTATTGATCAAACAAGATATTCTAAATTTTCTGAGAATTTATAAAATTTTTGATCATACGATTATTTCTACTATGAAGATTTGAAGATATTTTTATATTATTAAAATATCAAATCATCTAAAATTCTGTTCTTACATATAAAATCAAGATAAGATAAAAATATTTTTTCTACTAAAAATTATTAATAAATATTCGAATTTATCTTTAGACTTTAAGATATTTTCTAATTAAAAAATCTATTGATTAGAAAAACAAAATAAATATTAAACCAATATAGAAACTTTATTATTTTTATAAAAAATCAATTGAAAAGAAAGATTTTCTAATTTAGAAAATAATTTTTTGTTCTTTATTTAATCGAATAAAACTTAGTTTTGCTCAAAAATAATTTTTTTAATAAAATAATTTTTATTTACTTTAAATTATTCGAATTCTAATTGATTAACTTTTATTAACTTTCATAAAAATCTTAAATTCTTAATTGAAATTCTATTTTTTTCATATTTATTAACATAATTTTATTGTTTGAAAAAATTCTATTAAATATTTTCAATTCATTTTTTAAATAAAAATCGAAAATTGAGAAAATGTTATTAAATAATTTTATTTATTTTTTTCAAATATTAGAATAAAAGTAGAATTTTCTCAAATAAATAGTTTCTGCTTAAAAATAAAACTTTTCTATTTGATTGAAAATTGATTTTTATTGCTTTTTTAAATTATTAAAATTCAATAAGAATTTTATTTTCTTTCGATCAGTTACATTTCAAATATTCTCTTCAATATTTTATTTTCATTGCATTTATATTCAATATGAAATATCTTATTGCTAACGATTTTCAAATATTTGTAAGAATCTGAATAAAGTTAATTGCAAATATTATTTCAACAGATCAAAAAATTAATAATAATTTTTTATAAAATCATTACTTTTTTTTGTTTTTTTAAAGATTTATTCTAATAGAAAATTCCAATCTAAACGAATTTCTCAGAATAAATAGAATTTTTATATTTTTTTCAATTTGAAAAATCTGTTTTAATATTGAATATTAAATATTCTAAAGACAATATTATCTTGTTCTGGAATTGTTCAATAAATTTAAGTTAAGTTTAAATTTTTAGTTTTCAATTTTGAAATAAAAAAAAGTTTTTAATCGATTTATTTAAATTATTGAAATAAGAATGTTTTTCATTCAAAAAAAACATTTTCTGAAATTAAACTTTCATAAAAATCAAATAAAGAATTTCTATTTGAAAAATCTGAATTAAACGAAGGAATTATTTAAACTTAATTTTGTTCATTAAGAAGAAAATTTTATTTTATTAAAACAAATTCGAATACAACTTTTTCTTCTTATTTTCACTCTTTCTTTTATTTAAAAATAATAAAAAAGATTTTGCATAAAAAGAAAATCTTTTAATTTAGAACAAAGTCAAACAAAAAAGAATAAATATCAACAATCTGCAATTACTGTTGCTGGAGGAAATGGATATGGACAGGAATTAAATCACCTCAATCATCCTTTTGGGATCTTTGTTGATAATGATAAATCAGTTTATATTGCTGATTTTTCGAATCATCGTATTGTTAAATGGAAACTGAATTCAAATACTGGTCAAATCATTTTAGGTGAAAATGGAAAAGGAAATCAAAATAATCAATTGAATGATCCAGTAGATATAATTTTTGATAAAGAAAATAATTCTTTTATTATTTCTGATATGGGAAACAAACGAGTGATTCAATGTTTTGATCAAAATCAGACAAATCAACAAATTCTTATTTCAAATATTGATTGTTATGGTCTGACAATCGATAAAAATGGATTTATTTATGTTTCCGATTATGTGAATCATGAAGTGAGACGATGGAAACAAGGAGACAAAAATGGTGAATTAGTTGCAGGTGGAAATGGTAAAGGAAATCATCTTAATCAACTTAATTATCCTACTTTTATGTTTATTGATGAAAATTATTCTCTTTATATATCAGATAATAACAATCATCGTGTAATGAAATGGAAAAAAGATGCAAAAGAAGGAACTATTGTTGCTGGTGGAAATGGTGAAGGAGATAGTCTCAACCAATTGTCTTATCCCCTAGGAGTGATTGTTGATCATTTAGGTCAAATCTATGTGGCAGATGGAGAGAATCATCGAATAATGCGTTGGTGTGAAGGAGACGAAGAAGGTGAAATTGTTGTTGGTGGAAATGGTGAAGGAAATCAATCAAATCAATTAAATTATCCCAGTGGTTTATCATTTGATAATGAAGAAAATCTTTATGTCGCTGACCTTAACAATCATCGAATCCAAAAATATGAAAAGGTTGAAATTAAAAATATTTGAAATTTGATTTGATTAAGTTTTTATTTTTTATCTGTGAAGATAAATAAAAACATTAATTTATGAAAAACTGCCAACAAAAATAAATGAACATGAATCAAAAAATTTCGTTTCATAAAATAAATAAATTGATTTTCAATTTGTAGAAAAAAGTAAATAAATATTTATTAATTTTACTTTTAAATTAAAAAACCAAAATGAATGAAATAATTCAGATAGAATTTTTCTTGAATGAACCAAGTCAAAAGAATTTTAAAGAAAGTTTAATTGAAAAAAACTTTATTTTTATATAAAAATCAAACAAAATATTTTTTAAATTCAGAAAAACATTCAAATTAATAAAAGAAAATCTTCGAAATAAAAGTTTTATTAGATTTCTTTTTGTGATTTTATGATTTATTAAGAGAAGGGAAGAAAGAAGATAAATGAATAAGACCGAAATTTGTGAAAATCGAAAAAATAGATCAAGAAAATCTTTTCTTCAAAAAAAACAAATTAGAAAATTAAACAAAAGATCAAAGTTGTTTTATTTTACTAAAAAAATGAAAATTGAGGAGAAAAAATAAATTCGAAATTTCAATAGATTAATAAACAAGTTCTCCAGTATTTCAATAAATCTTTTTTTATCAAGAGGAAAACTTAGAAATAGTTGAAAAGTAAAATAAACATTCTTTTCTTTGGATTTTATTAGATTGTTTTTTGATTTTTCTTCTTGGGAAACAAAGATATTTTAATCATTAAACTCAGAAGTGAAGTCTGGATGGGATGTGTTTTAGTATATTTTTGATGTCTGTTCGTAATATTTACATTGTAAATTCAAACATCAAAGTGAAGACAGCGAGAATATATTTATGTACACTATTTTAATATCTCATTTGAATTCATAATAGCAAGTCTTTCACTTCGCTGATATTTTCCTAATAACATTATACTCATGTGCATCCAAATTTAAAATTAAAATGCATAAAGCGATTCTTTTGTTCTTCTCTCCTTCATTTGTCATAAGAAAACAATTCAGTTGCTATTTTATTCGAAAATATATAAATAATTCTGAAAAAGTAAAATTTCAATGAGCAAAGCTTCAGATGACATAGATAGTTGTCTATTTTCCTCCCTTCGGTTACACCAGTGGTGTATATGTGACTGTGTGAGAAAGTTGAATATAATACCCACATCTACATCTATATTCAGACTCATCAAGATTTTTGTTATTATCTTTTGTAAGCAGAGAAGAAACTCTATGAAGATAAATAATATCATCGTCAATAAAAGAAAAACAAATACTTCTTACCAACTTGGATGAATAACCTTGTTTATCATTCTTTTGAAAATCAAGATAAAAAAATTTATCTAGCTTCATATATACAAGGTGAATTATATTTACTGTGGATACTTTTATTCATTCTGACAAAAGAAACTATTACCAACATACACATCCAAAAAGACAGAATAGCAAGTAATTTATAAATAACTCAAGTCAGTAAGTATTACTCAATATATCTTCTTTTACAGCGTTTTTTTCCTTTTCGTGATCAATGTGTGTGAGGTAGAGTTTAAAAGGATATCCTTGTAAGAACTGTTACCCATTTTAACCATAAAAGTTCTCATAAGCTTAAAGTTTAGCTAGATTCCCATGAGACCAGTTCTATGAGTTTTCAATGATCCTAGATGCCGCAGAGATGTTCGTTTTCGCAACTTGTTTTATACCATATGTTTTGTATTAAATTGATTTTTTTCTTCTCAAAATGTGATTGAAATTAGGTTAAAAGTAATAAAGTGAGAAAGAATGATTAAATTTTAGGATCAGTAATGTTATTTTCTCCTATTTATACTTTAAAACATCAAAAAAATAAAACTTAATTAATATTATTTTGTCAGTTAAATTGAGTTAAAAAATGTTTTATCTATAAAATCAAAGTTATTCGAAACTACTTTGATGTACTATGAGATTTTTCAAGTACAAAACTATAATATTTATCTCTTAGACTTAGATTTAGTATCTCATTCAAATATGATTAAATTGAAAGAATATAAAAATTGTAGTAAAGTGACTTTGATTGCCAATTTTTTCAAATGTAATAATCAAAAAATAAATCAAATAAAGTTTTCCTTTTTTTATTTTTTAATATTTAGTTCATCATTCAATAAAAAACAATAAATTGAATAATTAATTAATTATAATGAGTAGTTCAGGAGATCGTTTTACAGATATTGAACTAGAAAATAAACGTTTACCAGCATGTTTTGGTTACATTACTTGGAAATTATTATCTCTCGAGGATACGATGAAAGAATTACAAGATATTTTACAAGAAATAAATCGTTTTGTTAAATTAGCTAAAAAATATTGTACATATCCAAATGATCATAATTTAACAAAAGATGAATCTGCTGCAATTTATATTTATACAATGGAAATGTCCGATAATTCAAGTGTTTATCGTATGTTAAATCAAACACTTCGGGCAGATGACCGATCAAAAGTTCGTCCATGGTTTGGATACTTAAGACTTTTAGATTCTGCAACATCGAAACTACCCAAATTTAAAGGAATTATTTATCGTGGAATTGATAAAGATGTTACTATGAATTTTAAAAAAGGTCAAAAAATTACTTGGTGGAGTATAAGTTCATGTACAACATCTGTTGATGTTATTTCTTCGTTTCTTCATAAATCTTCTTCAAGTACATTATTTAATATTGAATGCTTAAACGGAAAATCTGTTTCATCATATACATGTTATCCAAATGAAAATGAAGTTATTTTAATGCCTGGAACAATGTTTGAAGTTGTCGCAAATCCATTGAAACATCATGGTGGATTAAATATTATTCATTTAAAAGAAATTAGCGATGATGATGATGATGATGATGATGATGATGATGAACCACCAAATCCAAGTAAGTAGTTCAACTACTATATTTATTAGATAACAAATCAATAAAATGAATTTCGATAAATAGCAGAATCTGAGAATAGTTCTTTAAAATCTAATAATAAGTTCATGGAAAATATTATTTTATTTTTCAGACTTTTGTAAACTAATCGAATAAGAAGTTGAAATGATTTAGGGTTAAATTAATTTTTCAGTATAAATTTATATTTATTTATTTTTATTTCAAATTCAAAAACATTTGTTTTATTTGACTAATCAAAATATAAATATTGCTAGACGAAAATATTTATCAAAAAATTTACAAAAAATAATTTATTTTTCAATTATAAATAAATCAATAAGTGAATAATTGTAGAATTTATGATATGAATAAGAAATATTTGATATTTTATTATTGAATTTGATTTATTGAAAATCTTAATTGAGAAATAGAATATTTAAAGATTATACTTCTACAATTTTATTTTCAAGATAAATGATAAAACAAATGTTTCAAAGATCGATGAAAAGAAAATCTAATTCACCAGAATAGTTTATAAATAAATTAACTTTTTGTTTCAATAAAATATTAAAAATTTGATTAATCGAATATATAAATTAATAATAATTATTATCTATTTCTATCTTTCTTTTTTAAAAAGAAATATTTTAACATTTTACTTATATTTGAAAATTAAAAAGACTTCAAAGAGAAAAAAATGTATTAAATTTTAAAAAATCATCTAAAAGACTTTTGTTTTTGAAAATGAAATAAATTTTCTTTCGTAAATGAATATGATTTCGTATTTAATAGTTAGAAAAATATTTTGTCAACAGAAAATAAATATTTTATAGAGAAAACTTTAGGATTTATATTCAAAAGATAAAATATGAATGAATTCTCTCTCTTTATATCTTTATTGGAAAATTTTTAAATCATAAAATTGGATTTTCATTTGTTCCATTTTAAATTATTTCAAAAACTTAAACAAAAGTTCTGATATCCTAATTAAGTATTATTTATTTTTTCAAAACAAAAATATTATATTGATATTGTTTAGTATTTAAAAATATTTTTATATAAATTAAAGTAAAATAAATTCATTGTATTTTCTTTTTATTAAGATTCTTATCAACCTAAGCATTCTACAGCTAGCATAGCGACTATATTAAAGAATCCAGTAACACCAAATGAAATATCAACTCAATCTCAAACAAAACAAAGTATGTTTCACTAAATAAAAAATAGTTTAATTATCTTTAAGATTGAGATCGAACTTTTTCATAAACTATCCTTATTAACTAAGTAACAATTTAAATTACTTTCTCAAATAGTATTATTCTTTAGTCAAGAAAGAACAATTTCTCTTAAAACAATATTCATAAAATTGTTCATAATTTGGTTCTTTTCTATTTTTATATCACTTAATATAACACTGAAAAGAGATCTCATAGATCGTTTTCGAATTATTTTTTTCATTGAGATACTGAGAAAATTAGTAAATAAATATTTAAAATGAAAATTCTTGTGAAGAGTAACGAAGTTTTTCATTTAAAATATTTTTTATGAATTATTGATATGAGTAAGAGCAAAATTTAACATCAAAGATTTTATCTTCTTATAAAAATAAACATTTATAGAATTGTTAATCAAATTAATCAGTTCGAATAATTTTGAAAAAAGAAATCATGATTGTAGTCAGAATTGAATATATTTATTGAAAAATAAAATATTACTTTTATGTTTTATAAAATCATAAAAATGATGTTTTTTTAAAATCGTCAATAAAATCAAAATAGTATAGTGATTTGCTTTGTTTCTGAGCCATAAAAACAAGAGTTTCAAACTTTTCATTATATTCTAATTAATTAGTTAATTAATTATTAAAAATAAAATAAAACTTATTTTACAAATAATATCGTCATTTCAACTTTAGAATTTATTCAAATTATTTATCTATGTTAGTAAGAATAATTTTATTAAATATTTTCAATCATTTTTTGCCTCAAGATTTATTTTAAAACGATCTTCTAAAGGAATACTTTTAAAAGTTATTTACTTTTGTTTAGACAAAAAAGAAAAATTAAGAAAATGTGAATAAATAATTTTATTTCTTTTTTCGGATACTTTAATAAAAGATAATTTTTTTCAAATAAATTATTTTTGTTTAAAATTAAAATTAATTTCATTTTCTTCTCAGAGTATTCAAATTTTCGAAATAAAAATCAAATCGATTTTAATAAAATTCTTTTTTTGTTAAAAATAAAATTTTTTTATTTAATTAAAAATAGATTTTTTTTGCTTTTTTAAATTATTAAAATGATCAAAACTCTATGAAAATTTTCTTTTCTTTCAATCAATCAGATTTCAAATATATCCTTCAATATTTTTATATTTTAAAATTATCAAAATTCTATCTGAAATATTTTCTTTTTAATCATTTTCAGATATTTGTGAAATTTCAATAAAATTAATTCGAAATATTATTTCAACAGATTAGTCAATTAGCAACTTTTGATTAAATCATTATTTTTTTATTTTTATGAGATTTATTCTGATATTAAATTTATCTAAACAAATTTCTGAAAATAGATACAGTTTTTACACTTTTTTTTGTTTGAAAAATCACTTTCAATATTTTAAAGAAAAGATTATTTTGTTTGTAGATTATTGAATAAATTTAAGTTAAGTTTAACTCTTTAGTTTACAATTTTCAAATAAAAGAACTTTTTTAGTTTACTAATAAAAAAATAGTTTTTAATCGATTTTAATGAAACCATTGAAATAAAAATGATTTTTCTAGAATCAAACCTTTATTAAAATCAAATAAAGAATTTTTGATTAAGAAATCTTGATTGGATGAAGAAAATGTTTAGAATTACTTTTATTCATTAAAAATTAAACTTAACAAAAAGAAAATATTATTTTATTAAAACAAACTCAAATACAAGTTTTTCTTCTTATCTTCGTCCTTTTTTCGTTTAAAAATAATGCTAAAGATATGAATAAAAAGAAAATCTTTTATTTTAGAACAAATTCAATCAAAAAAGAATAAATATCAACAATCTGCAATTACTGTTGCTGGAGGAAATGGACAAGGACAGGAATTAAATCAACTTTCTTGTCCTTATGGGTTTTTTATTGATAATGACAAATCAATTTATATTGCTGATTGGTATAGTGATCGTATTGTTAAATGGGAATTGAATTCAAATACCGGTCAAGTTATTGCAGGTGGAAATGGAAATCAAAATAATCAATTGAATGAGCCAAGTGATATCATTTTTGATAAAAAAAATAATTCTTTTATTATTTCTGATACTGGAAACAAACGAGTAATTCGATATTTTGATAAAAATCAAACAAATCAACAAATTCTTATTTCAAATATTGTTTGTTGGGGTCTGACAATCGATAAAAATGGATTTATTTATGTTTCTGATGATGAGAAACATGAAGTAAGACGATGGAAACAAGGAGATATAAAAGGTGAATTAGTTGCAGGTGGAAATGGTCTAGGAAATCGTCTTAATCAACTCAATCACCCTACTTTTATCTTTATTGATGAAGATTATTCTCTTCATATATCTGATCGTGACAATCATCGTGTAATGAAATGGAAAAAAGATGCAAAAGAAGGGATTATTGTTGCTGGTGGAAATGGTAAAGGAAATAGTCTCAAACAATTGAACTGGCCTCAAGGAGTCTTTGTTGATCATTTGGGTCAAATCTATGTGGCAGATTACTGGAATAATCGAATAATGCGTTGGTGTGAAGGAGATAAAGAAGGTGAAATTGTTGTTGGAGGAAATGGTGAAGGAAGTCAATCAAATCAATTGAATTGTCCCAATGGTTTATCATTTGATAATGAAGAAAATCTTTATGTTGCTGATCTTAAAAATCAACGAATCCAAAAATATGAAAAAATTTTAAATTAACAATCTTTTTAATTTAATTTGATTAAATTTTTTTATTTTTTATATTTGAAGATAAATAAAAAACATTGACTTATGAAAAATGTTCAACAAAAATAAATGAAAATGAATCAAAAAATTTGTTCTCATAAAATAATTCAGATAGAATGTTTATTGAATGAATCAAATTAAAAGAATTGGAAAGAGACTCGAATTAGAAAAGGTTTAATTTTTATAGAAAACTCAAATAAAATATTTTTTAAATTGAGAAAAACATCTAAATTAATAACAAAATCTTCTAAATAGAAGTTTTATTAGATTTATTTTTGTGATTTTATGATTTATCAAGGAAACGGAAGAGAGAACATAAATAAATAAGGCTGAAACCTGACTAAATGGAAAAATTAGATTAAAAAAAATCTATTTTTTAAAAGAAAAAAATAATGGATAAAAATAAAATTCTAAAAACTAATTTCACATTTAAATATTAAAAATAAAAATAAAGAAAAAGTCAAATTTGTTTTATTTTACTAAAAAATGAAAATTGAAGAGAAAAAAGAAATTTCAAATTTCAATTGATGAATAAACAATTTCACGATTATTTGAATAGATCTTTTTTTATCAATAGGAAAATTTAGAAATAATTGAAATATAAAATAAAAATTCTTTCTTTTATCTAAACATTTTTAGAAAAGAAATTTTTCAAATTATTTTCTTTGGATTTTATTCAATTATTTTTAATTTTTCTTCTTGGAAAATATCAAGATATTTTAATCATTAAACTCAGATGTAAAGTCTGAATGTGATGTGTTTTAGTCTATTTTTAATATCACTGTTTATAATATTTATATTCCACATTCAGACA